TTTTTCTTTGAAACAGAGCCACTTTGCTTGCCCAGGCCTAGAGCTGAGTGGCCATGCGTCGCAGCGCTAGCTCAACAAGCAAAAAACCCTTTCCAAGAGGCCCTGGGCTCAAGCCATGCCGGCTGCTTCAGCGGCTCGGGCCGCAAGTAAGCGTGGACTACAGCGCATGCGCACCCAGTCGGGCGCCGGGGGGGGCGCGCGGCGTAAGGTTTCTTTCCGGTATATATGTATCTAGTTGCTAGTGATTATTTCGCTATTTTATAGTAGAGACGGGTGTGCTTCTGGCTTCAGCTGGTTCGAACGCCCTGCCTCGAGCAATCCACGGCGTGCTTGCCGCGGTTGCTCCCTGGATCTCTGTGAATGTCATCATCCTCGCCTTATCTGTCCTCAGACCAAACAAATCCTGCCCATGACCCACTGTCTTCTTCCCTGTTTTATGCTAGTTCTCTCTCTGTGACCTGTAGCTCTTGAGAGTGACAAAAAGAGAGCTTCCTTCGGAAGCACAAACAAAAATGACACCACCGGGGACCATTCAAATTGGGTTTCCCCTGGTGAGGTGCATGTGCCTTGGAGAAAAAACTGTTGAGAATCGTCAGCAAAAGCCAAACTTGATATAACCATATTCTAATTTGTCTAAAACAGATAAAGCAGACAATAACTAGAAGAACTTTCCTTTTATAAAAAAATTCACAGCTGATATTATTATACTATCAGCTATGAGATCTCTGCTTAAGATCAGCTTAAGATCTCTGCTAGTTTTATCACATTTAAAATTCACAGTTAAAAGAGCAACTGGTTTTATTCTAATTATTTATTTATTTTGGAGGTTAGTTATACCTTTCTCAGGAACAGAAATATTCTAAAATCCACCAGTTCTAAATATGAAACAAGTAGTATATCCATCAACTAATCTAATTAATGAAGGATATGTTAAAAAGTAACATAATCCCAGGTGCATGTAAATGAAGTAATTAAATATCAACATAATTTCAGAATTGCTTCTTCATTTTTATTTTGCATTTTAATTGCTTCGTTTATACACGCACAGGTTCTTTACCCTAATCTTGTGTATCTTTATACTACAGGTTCCTGTGCCTAACAATATGTTGAGCATGTAAAACTTTAATCAAAATGCTGTGAAAACATATGTCTATATTTTTGGCTTAAGATTCTAATTAAGAGCAACTGATTTTTAAAAGTTCAATCAATATACAGCTTTTCAGGAACACATTTGCAATACGGGGCAAAGCATATTTACACCTGTTTGTTTGGTGGCCTGTGGTAACATGCCTGATTGCATTTTCATTCTCCATCCAGATGTTTTTATATCTTAGCATTAACTCCCTAAGCCACTTCAGAGGAATAAAGCCTAAGCTTCTTTTGAAAGACTCCCAGGGAAATTGAGTCCTTAATCCCCTTTGCTGATCTGTTTCAGTGTTTACCAACTCTTATTTTCAGACTTAATCGAAACCCCTCATGCCTCTGTTGGAGTCCATTTCCAGTCAAATTGTCGTTAGCTGAAGATAGAAAACAACCCAACAGCTTCCTCCAGAGAGGGCTTCACACTCATGAAATTCTCTGCTAATACCCCTTGTCATACTCTCCTTTCAGATGAATAATTCTGGTCTCCCACCCCAGCGGTAAATCGAGTAATTACTTGACTGGAGTCACAGCTACAAGCAGCGTTAGTCAGGAGAGTCTCACGACAAATGCATGCCTTAGGGACTCAGACAAAATGTTGTGTCTTGGTACAGAGTTTCAAGAGAGAGAACTTGGACGATCTCCGAGAAAGGCACATGAAGTTTAAGAATAACCCTTGCAGTCTGGTTGCCTTATCCTTTCCACATGGGACTGATGTCACAGCCCTTTACTCATCTTTGTGGTTCTCTGTGGACCCTTCCCCAAGCTTCCCACACATCTCATTAGTGGACCGGACCTGGAATGGGTGTTCTCGCCAAAGGCTGACCCATGCTGAGGACAACAGCACGGTTGTTCTTGCTGACCACACATCTGTTTATGCAGCACCACAACTGTCTCTTGAACAAACAAAAACAAAGACAGTGGGAAGCCGCTTTCCTACTGTCGGGTCACAACCTACAAAGACTCTTAGTATTTTTCAAGTTATTGTTCTTATACTTGCCTGGCTGTTCCCTATTTTGTATCTATTTGTATGTTTTTCCTAGCTGGTGGAATTCTATACTTTTTGTTGAGTTTTAATCATTCTTCTAAATTTCAGTATTTGTATTTTTTCCAGGTGACCTAAATTCTGATTCTTTTCTTTGAGCTTAAGTTTCTGGTTATTCTGCCCAATCTTGGAGCACAATTCTAATGTGTTCCGTGTACTGCACTATTGATTTTTTTTTTTCACATGATATCAAACACATTAGCAATGACTATCACCGGCAGAACACTTCCTGCTCAGAAATTGATTTTCTAACCCTGCTTGGTAGTAGGTAGGTTAGCTCCAATCAGAAACAC